AAGGCTAAAGGTATTTCCTTTGGCCTGTTGCTATGGAGAGGATTGACTGTATCTAGTGTTGAAATGAGTGATTGAGTATTTAGGTACGATGAGTCATGACAGAACCAAACCAAGTGATTGTGCCTAAATTTTAATTTAAGTTTGACTTTTGGTGCTGAAAATTTTTGAGTTAATGCTCTTTGTTATGAAGAGAAAATCATTGTGTAGATGGTTAGTACAGATTTGACATAGCCCTCTTGTTATGAGTAGTCAGGGTTATTTGAATTCTCACACTGTTGCTACTCAATATTTGACACAAGTGGTAGTAAATGGGAGATAAAAAGTGAAAGGGAGATAGAAAGTAATTATTCAGGTATTACAGGTTTTACAACCCATTTTGTCTCACTTTAAGATTTGAAGTTTAGATCTTTCTGAAACCAATTTTAACCAAAGTCAAACTTAAACTAAGGTTATCCCCATAATAAATGTGTTGCATCACAACTTTTTTCCTAGAGATTTCACTGCCTCTTATGTAGTTCTTAAACCAATAGTCCTTTTTAGAAGTAAAAAGCATTATACGTAAATTTTTAAAGCTTCAATATATTATGGCATTGCTTGGCTCACAATAACTCCATGTATTTTTAAATGGCCATTATTTTAATATCTTTGCAAATACTCTTTTTCTTATATATTTTACTCTCTTATTTACTTCTGCACTTTAAATCTATTATAAAATTCTTTTAATCATTTAAATATCTCTCTTCTACCATTTATCCATTCATATACATTTACTGAGCACTAGCTCTTTCTTGTCTAATGTGAAAACTTGACTTTTATAAAGCAGTTTTATCTTTCTTTTCTTTTTTTTTTTTTTAAGATTTATTTATTTATTTATACAAGCACTGGGTACAGTCAGAAGCGCGGGAGGGTGAGAGAATTCACCAGAGCCAGAGCGGGGAGCAGAGCAGGCAGAAGGACCCAAGTACACTGCTGAGGGGAGCAGCGGGCGGCAGGAGAGGTCTGCGCGCCATGCGGGACCCTCCTCCGGTGGCCGGGGAGCAGCCGGGGATTGAACTGGCACTGCAGAGGCTGCGGGCAGCTTCGCAACCCAGCGCTCAACCGCTGCGCCACCGGGGAGGCCCAAGCAGTTTTATCTTTCCTTGTGATGATACCAATGATTGAACAGCAAGTAAACAATTTCAGAAAGACTTAAATATTTAGATGTTGTTAGTTTAAACAGAATGCTGTGTAACTGTACAAAACTGAGTATTCCTAATCTGGGATTGTTAGAAATAGTAGAATAAATAAAGGCTAAGTCAGTAATGAGGAGACTTTGATAAATTCATATATGCTCAGGCTGCTGAAATCTATTTAGGTATGTTGTCTGTTTAGACTATTTAAGTCTATTAAATATACTTGTAAAATGCTACATACATACTTCCCCCACCCCTCTAATTTGGTATCCCTGACTTCCTGAAGCAATAGAATAATATTTGATGATATGAGCAGACTTCTTTAATGTCCCATATTTATTCAGGCAAAGACCCAGAAGTTAAAAAATGTCAAGCCATTTCTCTCAGGTTGTGTTGTGTTAAGGTGATGTCTTCAGTCTGCATTGTTAAATGTCAAACATATGAGTGGATTTTAATCATGATTCTCTTATTGATAAAAATTATGGCTGTGGGCTGATGATAAAAAATTAGCATTTTCAACCTTTTAGAAAGGAAAATTTCAAACAAAATAAATAAATAGAATAGGATAATGAACCTTCATGTGCCCATCATCTAGCTTAAGAAATATCAGTAGGGCCTCCCTGGTGGCCTAGGGGTTAAGCCTCAGTGCTGTCAATCCCTGAGTTCAGTCTCTGGCCAAGGAGCTAACCCACCTGGTGCAATAGACCTCTCTCTCCTCTCTCGCCTGCTGTTCCCCTCAGCAGTGTATTTCAGTACATCTGCCTCTTCTGCTCTCCACTCTATCTCTGGTGAATCCTCTCACCTACTGCACCTCTGGTCTACACCTCAGCTCTTCCATGCAAAAATAAAATAAATAAAAATCTTTTAAAAAATCAATATACAGAGCCTCCCCTGTGGCGCAGCGGTTGAGCGCTGGGCTGTGAAGCTGCCCGCAGCCTCTGCAGCGCCAGTTAGATCGGCAGCTGGTGAGGGTCCCACATGGCGCACAGACCTCTCCTGCCACGCCCACTGCTCCCCTCAGCAGTGTATTTCATTAGTCTGCCTGTTCTGTTGCCCGCTCTGGCTCTGGTGAATTCTCTCACCCTCCCGAGCTTCTCACTGTACCCAGTGCTTGTATAAATAAATAAATAAATAAATAAATCTTTTAAAAAATCAATATACAATCATTTTTGTTTTGTCTTTGCTTCTACCCATTTCCCACCACCACTCACTAATTATAATTAATTATAATATTTAAAGTAGTGAGGTGTAATTTAAGGACTTTGCAGTATAAAATCTTTAGTAGTACAGTTTTCAAATATAAATACATCCCTGTAACCCCACCAATAACATGAGGTTTATAGTAATTATTGTGGATGTTATAAATTCTGAAGATATTCATATGGAAGAGAAGGAAATTCTCCCTCCTTATATACTACCTGGTGCTCAGGCCTGGTAATTGAACCTGATATAAGGGCTGAAGGACATTAGATGGGTAAATTTTTCCTTCCAAGATAATGGCATCCAAAATAATATTCTTCTCAATTATAGACTCTCTGAAATATGCTCCCCCTTGTGCCTTTTCAAAATATAAGAGGAGATGGCTATCATGAATTGATGACAAGGAGAACAGAGGAAGAATCTCTATGTCTCAAGTTAATGCTCAGGGGTTTTGTTTATTAGAAAACCGGTTGGAATTAAATTAATGCTCTATTTCAGGCTTTTACCAAAGTGAGAAAATATTTTTTTCCTTTCATCTCTAGAAACTCATTTTTTGAGCTATAACTTGATAGTTTCACCATACTCTTAGATTTCTATAACCGCTAATGAATCAGAAAATTGATATAATTCTAGTTTCTCTGGATACTTCTCAAGTTTGGCTGTTGAAGTCCCATCTGGGTGTTCAATAAGAATGAACCATAGTAAAATCTCTGGGGTATACTGGGGACTATATGTAAAATACAGAACACTAATGCCAAATAAGCCTTGGTTTTATGTACCAGAGCCATTCACATTATTTCTTTCCTCTGTTGGCTTTGAAAATTACAAACTAGTACACATATATTTAAGAAATGAAGTCAGAATTCGTTACTTGATATTGTTACTTATTCATAGTCAGTGGGTATTTGCAAAGCTGATCATTATAATTCTGTAGAAAATTGCCTGTATTTCTGAGTCACTCTTGAATAATCAAAATCCAGAGCTTCAATAAGGTGCTCCTCATTTACAAGGTTAATTCCTCCAATAATGATGTCTACACTCACACACATTTCTGAGCTAAGAATTTATTGCATAGGGCACAAACTCATTCGACATGCAGTGTAAATAACCTTATTAAGGATGCAATGAGAGGATATACATTACCGTTTTGCTGGGTCAGGAGGGTAAACACAACAAGAAAATGAGGCATTTACCACTAAGTAGTCCAGCTGATTTATTTTACTGTGCCTTTTACATTTTGAGTTTTTTAAAGCACAGGCTATCTGGGTATTCTGCCCTCATTCAAGCATTCAAAGAGAAATATTAAATTCTAGAGGGTGTGAGAACTGTCCCAGAGAACAAGGCCAGGCATGATGTATTAACTACTATTAGAACTGAGATAATGTTTCAGGTAAGGGTTAGTTGGTAGTAAATCTGCTTTTGCTTTTTGTGTTCCAGGTGGTTCTGATAGAATTTAATATAACAGATAGAGAATTTCTCCCTGCCAGTGTAAACAAAACTCAATTCATCTAGATCTAAACAGTGACATAACTCTGAGTAGAGGTGAGAGCTAAGCTCGAGCAGGATATACTAACCCTTCAGCTGTCTTCTATATATGTTCTGTATTTCCAGTTCACCTCTAAGTGCTTTGCTAGAAGAAAGTTGCTCACTATTACTGTTCTTCCCAGAGACAGCACCCAGTGTCATGTGGCAGTGGGAAGAGTTCTAGAAGCCAAGCAGTCTTCTCAGTCACAGGTCACCTTTTATATAGCAGAAAACATTTCAAAGCTGTAATATCTTTGGGGTCTTTCCCCCAAAGGTCATGTAACCTCATAGTATATACTTTCCCAGAATTTGAAACAATGAAATATTTGTAGATATTTTTAGGAAGGTATCCGTGTCTTTCAGCTAGTAACAGCTGCTGTAATACTTCTTTTCCTAACAATGATAATGATTATAGATTACTGTTTGCTGCATTGAAAAGATTGTAAATGAGAGTGGACTCATGAGGAAAGCATTTGGTTTTATGATGAACCCCAAATAATGCTCATACTCAGTGCATCTTATAATCTACAAATTCCATGAATAAATAGCTTGTTGAATCTTATTCATTTCTCTTTCCCTGGTTTGTAGGAAAAGAAAGGACTATGTATCTCCCTTTCTTTTCTCCATCTCCCTGAGGTTCATTTTTGGCTTACTTTATCCTATTCATAGTTTCTTTCTTTTTAAAGATTTATTTATTTATGCATACAAGAACTAGGGTGCAGGTCAGAGATGCGGGGTGTGAGAGGATTCACCAGAAACAGAGTGGGGAGCAGAACAGGTGGATCTACTGAAGTACACTGCTGAGGGGAGCGTGGGCGAGTCAGGACAGGTCTGCTGTGCCATGTGGGTTAGCTCCCTGGCCTAGGATAGAACTCAGGCTGCAGGTGATGACTTGATAGCACTGAGACTTTAACCCCTGCACCACCACGGAGGCCCCATATTCATTCTTTTCAAAAGAGAAGGATGGTTTCTCAATTTTCATTGTTCCAAATCTCTGTCTGATGGAAAAGTCTTTATTGCTTCATTTTTGTTCACAAGTGTTAGATCTGTGTTGCGTCTGAAAGCTTTGCCTGCTCAACACTACTTCCTTCTGTTTTGTCACAGGCATTGCCCAGCCTTGAATGGATCTTTTGCACTCCTAACTTAGTCCTAATTCAGAAGAACTGAACTGACCTGTCAGAGAATCTATGCCAGGTTTTACGTGAAAAGGGATATACTGAAGGTAGATATATTCGGGTTTATTTGAACAGGGTCTTTTTGGTTATGTTTCTTCTATCCTTTCTATTTTCTATTGTGGAATTGAGCATTTTTGAAACTGGTTAGGCCTTTAGAGTCCTAATTTTTGCCTTTGGATTTTTAATAGATGAAGAATAAGACCAATATGAAATGACTTGTTCAAGGCAAACATTGACATTTTAGACTGTCTGTTTCTTTGAGGAGGTGGTCAAGTCAGAAGAAGATTCCATAACTGCTCAGACCAGCATGTTCGTTATAAATCATGGAACTGTTCAAATGCTCTCTTCAGCTTGATCAACAAGCACAGGTTTGGTACTTCTTAGTTGTGTCTTCTGTAGAGACAAGAGTCACATAATGGATATTTGAGTAATGGAGCTGTTTTTCCAAGGTTATTTCTGTTTGGCCCTGTCTTAAGTGATAGAGTTCTCTCAAACTCCAACTTCTTGCACTTAAGTGGCTACAAAGGAACATTGACAGTGAGATGAGCTGTCAGGAGTGCTGTTCATTCTACTGTTGGTGTGTCCCTCTAACTCGGTGCCTATCTTTCCCTTGGAGTGAAATATTTAAAAAATTATACTAATCAAATATTTATAGTGTCAATATAGTTTTTGTATTTCTACCATGAAGTGACCTCTGTAAACAAATTGTGTAAATATCAGAAGTAAGTGCTCAATATCAACACCTTCAAAATGAAAATTGAAATTTTTTGAAGATATTTCAGTATCTAAGTGGATGATGCTTAGCAGTTCCATTCTACAGGTTCTATGAAGTGAATTTTGAGAGTAATTGATCTTGAAATACCATTAAGGAATAGTGCTCCTCAAATTTAAGTTTATATCTATACTCATGTGATGGGGATTGAGAATTGCTAAAGTACATTGTCAAAGCTTCCCAGTGAATGTACAATACAGAACCGTGAGGACTTAATTTTGCTATTATTCAGATCTTTGTGAAGAACTAAAACTGTTTTTGAGAGAAATCTTTGTCCTGCTCAACTCAGTTGCTCTGCAGCTGGGCAAGACTACAAATAAACTATTCACTGTCAATATAAAAATATAAATCTTGTCAAATATGTGACTAGTCACTAAGTTATAAAGAAAGCAGTTCATTAAAAAAAAAGTTTATGGAAGGTGTTCATGGAAACCTTAATTTTCTACTATCCTTTAGAAGATAATATTGTTACTGGACAATGAGAGGCACTAAAACTGACCAAGGAAGGAAGAATATTTATTTTAAAATATGCTAAATTATCAAAGATATTCATTTTATCCCTTAATTTCAACAGTATGTGAAATATTTGCTTTCTAACACTTATGAATTTGTCTAACTTGCATTTCTTAAACCTGGAGGAAGGCATACCTCCTTGAAAAGAAGCAAAATTACTTAGGAAGAGTACCAGTAATTAACCCTTGCCTGTGGTAGTTCTACATTTTGCTGAACTAGGGATTATAAACTGATTCTACCAAAGTTGTTTATTCTAGTAATTCTCCATCTTAATTTCAAGGTGAGAGCTCAACTGTGGACCAAATTAAATAAATCTTCACAAATAACCTTATATGATCACATGGTTCAAATATGGATATTCAGTAGGTCCATGCCTCAGAGAGAATAGGAGATGATGGACAGTAAGTCACTACCAAGACGGTAGAAGGCATCATTTATAAGTCTAACACTACTGATTAGATTTATACAAATAATTCTTGGGAAATCATTATATCTGTATAGATCTAATTTTCCAGATGAATGACTGCACTCACAAAAGCAATGGTTTTAATATTTTCTCTATTGTTTAATTTCATGTTTGATAATTTGGAAAGTCCCCCATTCATTGTGAGTTATGTTTCATTTTTCAGCCTGATTATATATTGATGACATAGTTTGATTGAATAAGAGTATGTGGAGCCATGTTGCAATATAGGGCTTTTAGCATTTATGGACAGGATCTTTGTAATCCCACCCTGAGGACATTTTATATTCAGATTATGAGCAAATATTTGCTTAAAGTGTGGTCAGGATCAGTATTAGACAAACATGGGAATTTCTTTATTTTTGTCTTTCTATATAAATTATAAAAATTACCGTAATTTTCTGTTCACATCATTCATTTAAACATTGTCTTCAGAACATCACAGGAGAATTTTTTTTAAATGAAGAGTTACTCAAAAATGTGTTTGTGTCTTTAACACAACAAACTGTTAGTTGCTCCAACATTCCCATACACATACACACACCCATACACCCATTACATCATTCACTCAATTTCTGAAGCCTCTCAGGCTCCTGATGGCACAAGTGAAGTGACATTTCAGCAACCTAACACTGAGTTTCAGAAATGGTGAAGTTGGAATGCCACTTACAGTTTAATCCCCTCTCTATTAAGAATTCTTTTGGAGAATTACAAGAGTTCTGTTTGGCACCTACAAATGCATTGGTAACCTGTTGAGTGGAAATTGGCCTAGGTATCTAAGACCTGAATGGATGGCTTGTTCATGAAAGACTTTCTGCACATGCCTGTGTTCAGAAGGAAGGGGCGGGGTGTGGTTGGGAAGGATGGTCAGATGAGAATACCACTAGATTTTTGTCAACTTTCAAAATGTGATAATATTCACCTTCCAAAATATTTATTGGACTAAATGGAAAGAATATTTGAGCTAGTAATTGTTTTTGTAAAGGCTGAAAAATGTTTCAGGAAACAATTTTTAGAGGATATCAGATTCTGAGAAAGAATTGTCTATTTGCAAAATCTTGTTTCCGTGTGCCAACACAGCCATGTATGTTCATTATGGGGAAGAAATACATTGGTCTTCAAATAACACAAAGTGGTAGCAAAAGTTACTTTTATGTAAACAAAGTAACTGGGCTGAAGGGATTGGAGCTGGAGGAAAATGGATTCTACTTTTCCATAACTGAGACTATGTAAAAGAAAACCTTTCCCCAGCAGAATTAGCAGATTCTTTAAATCTTTGGGGTACATGGGCTCAATTTAATACTGATTTAGATTTATTCATTCAAAGGAATTTTTCTCTTGTGAGAATTTAATGAACTGGATATGAATGAAACTATGTCATCAATTTGAACCTTGTCATTTGTCTAGTGATTTTCAAAAATTATTAAGATAGCTTTTTCAGTTGTGGAAAATATAACAACACTCCATTCCTTCATTGGTTATGGCTGCTATAGACCATTTCCTAAGAAAGTCAACTGACTCTTAGATTGATCTAACTTCAAAGTCTAGCCTTGCTGAAGCAAGTTGATTTTCTCCTCTATTTGAGATAAATGTGGGCAGACAGTGAATACTTGGGAGATTAGAATTAGTCCTCAAAAAATAAAATTGTTCAACCAAGAATGGGTTGACTCTAAAAGATAAAAGTTTATTGTGGATAAATAGAAATTCCTTCATTTTGGATGCAAATAAAAATTAAAAGAAAAAAATTAATATTAAAAGATAGGAAGTTTAATAGCAGCATATTTAAATTAGTTTGTTGTATAAGGCAGCATTCTCAAAGAAACAGAACCAATAGAATTTATGTCTCTATCTCTAGCTTGCTGTCTCTATCTCTAGTTATATCTGTACCTATATACGTAGTCTTATTGCTATAGTTAATGTCATCTATATGCAGAGGTATTAAAAGGTAGAAAATTTTTTTAATGATGGGAGAAATGATTATTACTGTTCCATTCATGAAAAATGTCCAGAGAGTGATTACTTTTCCATATGCATTATATGTTCATCATAAATGTTATGTTTCTGTAGGTCAACATAAGTAAACTGGAAAATGTTAATTTTTTCATCTCAAATCCTCTGTTTTGTTAGGATAATGCTATTGAATACCTTCCAGAATGTGTCACGAAGTAACTATGATGTTATGATAAATCTACCTTGACACAATTTTCATTTCTCCCTCCAAGATGTGGTTATTTTCTTATATGATAAAAATGAATGCATGAAGTTTGATGTTGAGCCTCAGGGACATTGAACATAATGAATATATATAAGAATAGACATGAGACACATTCATTTCATGTCTCAGAAAAATGCCACTGCTGGCTAATTAGATGGTATGATCCCAAAAGAATAAGGTCTCACCAGGGAACAATTTCATGTTTTTCTAATAAGAAAATACCACTGACATTACAGACTTCTAGACAAGGTGGCAAATTGGTAGCTTAAAGAGTTAATCCAGTCCAAATGTGCTCAAGTGATTTGAAAATATGAGAACATGTAAAATTCTGGTGGTTGCAAATAAAAACCTCGATCTGTTCTTTTTATGAAAAATGGGAACTTCTGGCAATATTGGGTAATGTGTTCTTTCATGGCAACAAAACTCTGAAAGAGTGTAACCACAGCTGCCTTTAGGAAAGCTTTGTGCTCTCTAATTGGATGTGGTTCATTCTACTCACTAGATGTGCCCATGTGCCATTCACCAGGTGGCTCACATCACTTATTTACATCACCTTCCAGCATTAGAGTCCTTGAAGTTTGTCTCCAGCTCCAGTAAATAGGTGTTGCTCAATCTAACTAAAGATTCAGAACAAACTCCCACCTTTTGGGAGTGTATATTAAAATGATTACGGTAGCCTATGTTTCTGGCTTAGAAATTTCTTAGAATTCTTGGCTTTAAAAGAAATGGGCTTATTTTATTATGACAATAGAGATTATTAGAACAATTTTTTCTACCATAATCCAGTTTGAGGCTTTCAACAAAGACTTGCTGGAAATACAAACCACACATTCAATGCTTTTATTGACAAATAGGGTTGTACTGGTTTACTGCTTATAAAGTAATTGCACTTTTATAGCCATTGGCACTCTGGTTTATAATTATTTTAAATTTAATGCTTTTGATTAGGTAGTTCCAGAAATGGTTATGCTGAAGTAATCCAAGAAACAAGGAAATGCCTTATAAACCTAACAATGATATAAAAGCTTTCTTAAAGTTATTCAATACCAGACACCTGTAAAGCTGGTTCCTGGAATTGGTCGTCTGTAAATTAAACAACTACCAAGAAATTATAGTACTATAAATAATGTAATCATCATGAGTTCTTCATTGAAAGCATCTAAAATAAATCAGTAAATCTTGTAGGTATGCGGAATCTCTAAAAAAACCTGAAAAAAGTTTGTTTTATGTGATGTATGAGTAACAATGTGTCAGTATTTCCACTGATGATCTTATTAAAGTATTTTGAGTTGAACTTTCTTTTAATAACATTTTCCTGTTTGTGGTACAATAATACCTTCAATAAAATAAAACTTTACTTTAGCCATGTAGCTGCTTGCTAACTTATCAACTAACTGTGCCTATCAAGAAGTAAGGCTAATTTATTCAGCTTTTATGCTCTTGAGATTAGAAATACTTGGTGAAATTACTTGTTGAGCAAGGAAATCGATTGTACTTATGAATAAAGCTTATGTGGGCCTTCTCTCAAATGTGGCTGAATCTGTTTTTATAATTTGTCTGCAATGCTGTGTGGCCTAAAGCCCAATAGGATATAGAGCCAATTTATTTTTGTATAGGAACAGTTCCTGGGCTACAACTGATTTTGTAAGTTCCTAAAAAACCTATAGCTCTCCTATAATTCAGTTTTGCATTAAGAAAGCTGTTAGACTGTATCTGTGAGATGCCCACATCCTAGTAGAAAATGAAAAGTAAAATAAGTTGATGGAGGAAGATCAATGATGTAGACAATAATTTTCTGACTTGGATTAGTTATTTCAATCAAAAAGACTTCTTCATATAGATATATTAATGAGTTCCTTTATACCATTGTGTTTAGGTCTATTTTAAAACAAAGGAATACTAAAAACAAAGACTAAACATTTGCATGGCACAAATTTCAATAAGTGTAGGAATTTAGGGATACAAAGTTCTTATATTTATTTTATATAATAGTATATATAACTCTTTATTGTGAATCTAAATCTTTACTGTAATAGAAAGCTGTGTTAAAACTGGTCACCTACCTTTTCACTTTGAGAGAAACATATATCCTTACTTTCAAAATGTGCAGTTATATATTTATTCTGTCTCACTGACTTTCTTCATTCATTCTTTTATTCAAAATATATTATCAAGTGCTTCTTACATGCTGGGAATTCTTCTGGGTACTAGGGAAGCTTTAAGGAACAAGAATAACCCACAGGGGGTATTATATTTAGATGTGTGCTGGGAGAAAGATCTTATCAATAAGTAAATTATATATATTCAGAAAATGGTAAATACTGTAAAACTGCATGAGATGGGATCATCCAGGAAATAAATGTATATAGTGATACAAAGGGGGCAAAGATTGAACCCTGGTGATGTTTTCTCACTGAGATAACTTTGTGAGACTATGGTGAAATCAACCTTTATCCTTTACTACTTACACAAACTCCTGATGGATGCCAATTTCATCATTTTAGGTTTGACACTAGTAAAAAAAAAGACAAAATAACACCTTCATGTCCCTTAATGAAAAGAAGCTTATATTGAATGACAGAAAGAACATAACTCTCTTGTAAGCACCATCCAAAAGTACTGATTGATAACTATGCTTTATTAAAACTCCATGTCACATAGAGGACTTTAAAGCTTCCTTTTTTACTTGGAACATTTCAGTCATTGAGAGCTTACTTATCTGATTTTTAAAGGAAGTTGGTAATAAACCATGTAGTTTCGGGAAACACTAGTCAGGGTGCCTTCCTGTTCTAGATTCAGCTTTCTTTAAGAACTAAACGGCATTCATCACTTTTCCTCTGATTCTGAAACATTAAATAGGTCCTTTTCTTGACATGATTACTGCTTAGATTTCCACTTCGGGCGCTATCAGATACTGGTTAATATTTTATATGGCTAAGTTTATTCCTTGATATAAGCATATGCTGCATATACAAATATTCAAATATTTGGTCAACTGAGTCTGTAAGACAAGAAATTCCTTCAGTAAAGAGCTCAGGGTTTTCAGATCACTGGTACAAATTTTTTTCTTGAAAGTTTGTGGAATTTATGACATTGTTATTCACTCTATTAAAAGTAAAACAGTAACAAATAATGTCAGCTACTTTATCTCAAATATTTTATCTTTTCCTTCTGAAAGCCTTTAATGGAATTACTATCTTTTTAGCTAACCAACTTATAGAGTATGTGGGTAGTGGTATTCAATATTTATGAAATGTTTGTTTCTCATAGGCTAGAAGCTACTGATTTTTTTCTATAAATGACAGAATTTATTGTTATTTGAACCTGTTGAATTTTCATTTTAACATTTTAAAGTGGTAGAGGACACAGCAGATATGCATTCATGGTAAGACCTGCAAATTGTTTGAGAATATATTGCTTGAAAATTTCCTTATAAAGTAAAACAGCCTCCAAGAATGAGGAATAGTCATAGTTCCTGTCAACATAATTAAGAATGCCTTAAAAAGTTTCCTAGAATCATTTCAAGTTTTAGTAAATACTTAACCATGGAAATACAGGGAAATATTTATCAATGGCTTTCAAAAAATCGGTAGATTCATGTATCTCATGTTTACTCTGAGTAGAATGGCTTTGTAAGTGTGCTTGTTTATGCAGCTGACACTTTGCTGGAAAAGCATGGACCTGGATTTGTTTGGTGTAGAAAACACCAAACTCTCTTTCACTACTAAACAGGAGAGAGAAGACAATGTGAATATCCTCTGGCTATTTTCAGTAGTTACATAAGCTTTAAATTCATTTACCATTTAGGAAAGATTTATTCACAGGGTTGGCTAGGAATCTTAAAAGACTGAACTCTTGGATTTTAATCTCAATTCATAGTAGCCATAGGCAACTCACCTCTATGTAGCAATTAAGGACATAAATGTTAAAATTTCCTAGGCCAATTGAATAAAATGAAATTTTATAAAGGAATATGCCAGTGGTATTACTGAGAAAGCATTATTACACAGAGCATTATTAAACAGTAGACAGAGCAATGTACAACCACACAAGCTACATCAGTCTTCCTCACAGTCACCTTTAAACATGAAGTGTACGGTCAAAGCATCTCTAAAAACTTTCCTTGTGGGTCCTGAGTCCCAGTTTTTCACTTTTCTTCCCACTGAGAAATCATAATAGCTCATGAGTGGAATGTTTAGATGGTGTTCAAACCAGGTCCACGGCTCCAAAGGCTGGTGGGCTGATAGTGGTTTGGAGGCTCCTCAACAAAAGTGGAGATTTTAAAGCAGGTTTAGTGTCCAGCTTGTTCTTCACAATTGGGTCCTGTTTTTTCGTTTCTTTTCTTTTTTTATTTCTTTTTTTTTTTTTTTTTTTTTTTTTTTTTTTTTTGCGTTGACAGCTTCTTAGTCATTATTATCCCAATCAAACCAGTTTTCATGATGATATTCCATATCCCATTTTCATCGCTATGTGAAATGTAGTATTGAAAGGACTAGGTATCTTTCATGAAACACAACAGGACATTGATAACTGTGTGGATTTACTCCTGATCCAATCTCAGCCTGTGTTTTTTACTTTATGACTTTTTTTTCTAGACCAACAGGCTTTGCTTTCGCTCATCAGGCTGATGAGGGCTCGCTTCACACATACCACTCAAGACTTCTGTGCAGTATAAAATAGAAGATCAAAAGCAGGTAGGAAAAAAGGAGTAAGGGAATGAAATGAAAATTGAAAGCATTGGAAGGAAACAAAGGTCTATAAAGGATGAGCTCCAATTTCATGTTGGTGATGATTAACCTCGCAAAACTTTCTGAGACCTGTGAAACATTTGCTTGTCTTAAATCCAGTTTTTTTTAATATATTTTTTTTTTTAAAGATTTCTCATACTGAGCAACTCTGCTCTGATTTGAAGGGTTGAATCTTTTCTGAAAGCATTTGGTAAGGCCAGGCATTTGAACACTCAGGCACATGCAGCAGAACCAGGCACATGGAGGACAGCTGACTCCACAGAGCCAGGGACTTGGGTAAGTGCCCAGCAGTGAAGCCACCTAAATGGCTGCAAATGCTGCCTTTCTAATGAGCGTGGAAAACTCATTTTGGTTGAATAATGTTTTTATGAAACCAGGCAATCTCCAATAAAACGCTTTTAGTGGTGTGGTTCCAGCGATGGGTAAGGGCTGGGGTGGGAAATATCTTAAATTAGAAAAGGAAGCATAATATTTAATCTCATATTTGGGTACAGAAGGGTAGAAACAAAATTTTCTTATGTAGACTAAGTCCCACACCAAATATTTTTATTAAAATTAGAGAAAGTACTGACTCTTCTTTAATGTTGAGGTTAGAGGTTGAAGTCAAGTTAGTGCAGGATTACCGGAACATTGTATTTCAGACTTAAATCCCATCACAGTCCATTGCAGTGGGCTACAGTCCACAGATGTTCCATTAATGAAGCTAACAGATAATTTATATTTGATATTTCTTATCAAGGTTTCATCATACCAGAAATGCTGGTGAAGATGGGTGGCATCATCTCTAATTACAAAGATGATATGATAATTGAAAATAATTATGGTCTGATTTCCTTTTAAATGAAAATTATTTAAGTGATTAGCCCAGTACTGTTAGAATGGACATGGAACCCACATTATTTGGGAGAAGTCATCCATGGCTTCTGACATTTCCATTTCCATTTTGTGGGTGATCTCGAAGGCTCCTTCCATTCCAATATTGCCTGTGGTAAAATCAGTTGTTTTTGATGTTCAGGAAGAGAGCTTATTTCTTGGGTTCATGTATTTGAGATAGTAATCTGTTCGGTTCTCAGGAGTATGACATTATTTATTTTGCTACTCTGAATTGCCTTCTTATAATTCATTTCAGGAACCAAAGAAAAACAATTCTGACTGTCAGTTTAAATAATATTGGTGGCAACAACAAAGGGACTGAATTTAGTTAAAAACCTAATATTTCTTTTAATATATAATAGAAAATATCTCCACTATTTCATTTTCCTGTTACTAGCTTTATCTTATAAGTCACATATCAGACCTACTATTTCTAGTTACATAGTTTTTAATATGCCTAAGTGATATTTGAATTTTCTTTAATGTCTATTATAATACTTAAAATGTATAAATAAATGTTGTATGTACTTTCATTTAAAATTTTTGAGGAATATCCTCAAATACAATATAGTTATCATTATTGTTAATAGCCATATGATAATAGTAACAAGATGTGTTAGACTTCCAGCAGTTCATCATTCTTTTTAAGACATTTAAAGCTTTCCCCTCTCCCCTTTAAGGATGCTTATGATAATGATGCAGCAATGATAAACAACTGAATTTTTCCTACAAGGAAATCTTATTTTAGAGGTAACTTTTAAACCATGAGCAGATGCTGAGACTATAATCTATTTCGTTATGGCAACAAACAGTGAATTACTGAAGATTTATGTTTTTGTCACTTTTTCAATAGCTTGAATAGCTTTAAGTTCATTAGTAGAGAATGATAATCTTTTGTATCATTTAAACACCTATTAGCAAATTTTGCTTGCAAGGAATTCAATTTTTTGGCTAATTTACCAAATTTGTGTTTTTTTTTTCTTTCTGTATTTAAACTGGAATGTAAACTGGGTTTAGACTAAAAATTAAGCTTCCTTTTCTGAGTTTTGTCTTCATTATAAAATGTTGTAGTTGGGGGCCAGATATAATAGGTTTACCAAGATGTGATAAACATTAGGCTACATTTTATAGATTCAGTGTCATTGTTGATTGTTATTAGCTGTCTATATTTATTTCAAGTAGGAAATTATAGCAATTCAAAACTCTACTGATCAGGTAAAGAAAAGTAAAAAATAAGCTATCATTTTCACCGGTTTATTAATGCTCTCTAAATAGTGAGTCAACATAATGGTATTTTATTGATAATGACCAATGGCCTTTATTAAGGCTTAGAAAAATGTACTAATGAGAAACCAGTAAGATGATATTTACTAAAGGAAATCCCCTTAGAAATGTATTGTGTCTCCCAGATTTATATGTTGCATGTGTGTGTAATATATTGTTTAGCGTAAGCAAACTTTTCTATGGAAGATCAGATAGCAAATATTTTAGTCTTGTGAGTCTCTATCTTGACTAATCAAATCCACATTTGTAGCAAAAAGCAGTCATAGAAAATACATACACAAAGAAGCATAGCTGTGTTTCAATAATATTTCATTTAGACACTGAAAATATGAGTTTCATATATTTTTTGTTTTCAATGAAATATTTTTCTTTTGACATTTACTGATCATTTAAAAAATATGAAAACTGCTTTTGTTTGTCATAGTACATATCAAAATAGATGATGGGCAGAATTCATCCTGCGGGTCATAATTTGCTGACCTCTGCTTTAAAATTTTAATTTTCTACAACTCACAACAAGAAGTATAATACCTCAAAAAATATATGCATGGATATGCATGGATATTTTTAAGTAACAAAAATATTTTTAAAATATTATAGAGGCATACTTTGGGGAAGAAAGGAAGGAAAAGTTGCTAAGTCACAAGAATTGCAAAGTTCATTCAGATTAATATGATTGTTTTGTTATTTCTGTTGCTATCTGCATGAAAGATCCACATGCTAAAAGCGAACAGTATTTTTAGTTTGGTTAAAAGGTAGCTGAGGTCAAATGGAAATGTTAGTGGTTCTATTTGTAAATTTGAAATTCTCTATAAAATGAGGTTAACTTTACTCTATCATCATACTCATTCAATATGACACTGCATCATGGGAAAAAGTAACAAAGAATGAAGACAACTTATTGTCATATGTTAGAATTTGAAGTATGTTATTTTGGATAAATTTTCCTTCTACTTTAAATGTAATTTATCATAAGTTGTATATAAGAAGTTAAAATAATTACACAATTTAAAAACAATCATTAAGATTTTAAATCATTATTTATAGAATATATGCATTTAAAAAACTAATGTGTATTTGTTTATTACATGTATTTGTGTTCATATTTTGAATTCCGACACAATTCTATTTAGAAACTTATTTTGGCAAATATTTCAAATTAAAATAATATACTTCTGGTTTCTAAATTTCTTAGCATTTTTATCAAATAAAAATATCAATTCTATTCTAGAAATGTGTTAATAGCATGAAAAGGAGACTTAGTGAGGTACTATATTATTTGATGCTTTTTAGTTTATAAAATTTTTAAAAATAAAAATATTATTTATGGGTGGGGCATAAAAGTAGTAGTTAAATATTTTTTAAAAAGTAGAACAACTTATTAAATGTCATTTAGAGAACATGAAAGTACTAGCTGAACATCAAAACAAACAATTAACTAAACTTAAGCACTTTTAATGCAAGAGTTTCGTACATAGATATAATTTCAAACAAGGCCTAAGCCACAACCCTCATTTCCTTTTGTATTAAAATCATATGAAACCAATATAAATTATTTCTAGTGATGGGCTGATTTGAGGATTTTAATTTAATTGATGTTTAGATGAAATTAAACATTTTTATTTCATTAGTGATAGAATCTTTAAAAAGTAAAGCATTTTTCTGATCAGGAGTAGATATCAATGCTCTTGATTTACATTTTGAGGGTATGACACTATTCCTTTTGTAATGAGATTATCATTTCATTTGACAAAGATTTCTGGGAATCTGTAGTGGATGTGGCCTTCTGCGAGGTCCTAAATACAAATATATATGTATTACTCTTGTCCTCACCAAGTTTGCAGTTTTACTAGTGGAGAACTAGGGTGATTTTGACCCCAGTAGACATTTGGAAATGTCTAGAAATATTTTAGAGTGTTATGAATTCAGGTGTGCTCCTGACATGTGGTGGGTAAAAGTCAGGGATGTTGAACATCCCACAATACCTTTAAGAGAGCACAAAAAAGAATTATCCAGTCTAAAATATCTATAGTACTGACTTTGATAAACTTTGATCTAAGTTTTTAGATAATTTTTAGAACTATTAGAGAATTATGGATTGATTCTGGTGGGAACACAGAAGAATTGGTCAATTCTACAAGCAAGAAGAGTTGTTTTGGTTAAAGAATAGCTCGAAAGAAGAGTTATGTATGAGGTGATTCTTGAGGGACTGAATGGAGAGATGCCCTATAGAGAGCAAATGTAGCTCAGAAAAGGAACTTCCAAGATTGAAATAGCAAAGTGTATGAAGACATGGATGTATAAAATTTCAGGGTCTCTCTCTTTTTCTCTCTCTTTTGTTTGGTGTGTAATAGAGTTGGAGTTCCTCTTAGGAGTTGTTGGAATTATCAGAGGATTTTGAACAGGTACACAATATGATCCGGCAGTCTATTTGTATCATGGTTAGTGTCATGATTATTTTAGGAAACACAAAATCCTACATCATTTGATTAGAAAAAATCCTCAGGAAGGAAAGTTCTCCCAGCATCAAAGAAGGATCCTACTTCTTATAAATGTTTGTTTCTGATTTAATTCTTTCATTTTATTTGTCATAATTCTATGAAATTCATAAAAAACTAACCATAATTCATTATGTGTCATTTCATAAATGTTGCTAATTGACTGACTCCCCTGGGTATAAACTGTCTTGTGATAGTATCAGGTAGCATTATAGTTTCTTAGATGTTCTTTTTTCAGGTTTCTGCTATGAAGCCATGTTGGGGGTGGGGGGAGAGAAAGAGAGAATCTGCTTACCAATAATAATAACAAAAACCAACTAGAATCAGAATCTCAACTATAGCAAAACATTACTTCTCTATCTAAGTGGTTCTCAACGCTGGATACTCATTACTCATTGCTGGAAGAGATTTGAGTATCTATATTTCTTAAAACTCCTTTGGTTAACACAGGAAACTTTTATGGATATACAAAATATTAACCTGACATTTTTATTTGGCTCTGCCAAGATTAAAAAAAAAAAATTTTTTTTCCTCCAGTAGGCATGCTTTCTTTTTTCATTAAAAGTCAAACTAATTTTTTTGAGCATACACTAACTTTCTACAGGGTGGCTTCCCATTAGA